ATGCGTGCTTTGTTAAGAAAATTCATTGTGCGTTTCTTCAATTTTATGGCTGTATAATCGATCTATTTTTAACTCCATTTCATACATATATATACCGATTTCAATTTCCTTTACGACCATATAATTTGGCGAACGGAGCGCCATATATTGGTGCCGTAACTGGAAATTTCATAAATTTAGAATTTAATGTCCTGGTTTTTGCCTCATAACTTTGGAACTACTGGAGGTATTGTAACAAAATTGATGTCGTATGAAAGGTAGGAAGTCAGACTAGTTCGTGACCTATGTAAAATTTAAAAAAATTTTAAATGTTTTATTTGCAATGTTATGTAGGAGGATACATTTGTATGTTATTGCCTTACAAAAGTTTTCAAAATACAATTTGCCGATTCTATGTCAAAGACCAATATTTATCCTTTTGTTTGTGTCATTCCTTTCAATAGATGGCGTTCATTTAGGGTCTAGTATGGTGATGGGCAACGTCATACGTCTTACAGACACCAATAGATGACACGGACGATGGGTTTATAAAAATTGCATACCTCATTTAATTTTGCAATAACTTTTTTCGTATTGCAGATATTAAAAAAAAGTGGTGTCTCCTGGAAGGTATAATGGTATAATTTCTTGTGAAAAGGAGGGAACCGATATTCCCCATCTTCGAACTTGATTTAAGTTGTGAAGAAATATTACAGTATGTGATTGGTTAATCCATTCGAGAGCTATATCGCACACCAGTCAGACAGACGGGCATTTGTAAAGCCACTCCAAATTATTTGAAGCAGATTTGGTTCAAAGAAACATGGAGTCTAAAATCAATATTTCGATGAAGCAGTGTATTTATATATATATGTATATATTATATAAAAATATAATATCAATAAATAAAATGTATAGGTAAACAGTTATGGAGAAAGTTATGTTGAAAGCCTTAAATTTTTTTTCACAATACAATTTGCCGATTCTTTAACAATTACCAATATTTAGCCATTAATATGATACCTTGGCTATGACTATATAGTTCCCTGGTAAAAAATACAGGATGTAGAAAATAATTGTAAAGAAAAAAATATTTTGCTGTCCCTCAAAAAATATAGTGCTGAAGTAGATGTCTTGTCGGGTTCTATAAAACGCTGCTCATGATCAGACAATACCCTACAGGAAAGCCCTCTTTTGGGCCGAATGAATGTAATTTACAGCTTCATACTTACCTTCCCCCAATCAACCACAAAAATAAAATAAAAATTTTATATTTTCATAGTTTCATTTAGAAAAAGAATCAAAAGAACAATTTATTATTTTATTATTTTCAGTTATTAAAGACTTATAAAAAATATTTGTTTGTACAAAAAATACACATAATAAATAAATTTGAAAATAAAAATATCAAAGGAAAACATGTATTACTATGAAAAACTATTACAAATTAAATAATTAAAAACAAAAAAATATTATTAGAATATACATAGTTATTTGGTTTTTATAAAATTACACAAAAAATTAATAAATAAATAAACCTAATTCTTAATAACAAAGAAATTATAAAAACAAATTCTCTAATAACAATTTATATAATACAATTTATTTTATTATTTTTTTTTTAATTTATAGAAAACTTTAAACACATATCCAACATTTTTTTTTTCAGTTACTAGCAAAGTGGCCGCTACTTCGTATGCGGAAAGGGAATGCAAAAAATAACAATTCATATGGAAATCGTGAATACTGTATAATTTGTTGTACTGTAGTTCTGAATTCCACCTATATATCAAGTTTATTACCATTTAGTACTCTTCATACACATAAAAACTATTTTCCGAAATCTCTTTCTAATTTTCATTACAAAGAAATAGGTCAGAATTCCAATCATATATACTTGTGAAAATTCTTATTTGGCACTTTTCGACTACATAAGAACAAATTTTCAACACTACCTCCATACCATTACCACCGCCACTAAATTTAGTACCAGTTAGTACCAAAAACCCTTTGGCATTTCTTTCTAACTCTCCGTCAGTGACCCACATTTTAGATTTTAGGTTTCCAGCTCTCCGTTACCCAAATCCAAATTGTTCCAAATTTAGCGAATTTTCTATTTACAGTTTGTATACATAAATTCGGGTTTCCAAAGTTGTTTCCATAGCTCAATAATACACTTCAACAATAATCTAAATTCCAAATCTCAGGATTCAACCAAATCCAAATTATTCCAAATTTAGTATCATTTAGTACTTTGCATACCCATAAGTAAGAATTTCTAAAACTACATCAATCCTACACACTAATAGTAATCTTATTTCCACCAAAGTCCAACTTGTACCAAAATTATGTCATATTTGATACCATTCTGTACGTTTTGTACCCAAATTCCAAACCTATCTCAATATTCCAAACCTATCTCAATATTCCAACCCTACTTTCAAATATTAATCGTAAGTCCAAATTTAAGAATTCAAGCTCTGGCTGTTCACCAAATACTACCAGATTTTGGTACCATTCTGCACTTTTCCTACACTACTACGGTAACTTAAGTTGCAACTTTCAGGATTCCAGTTCTACCCGTTCACCAAAGTCCAAATTTTGTGCTTTTCATGCACTCCAATAATAACCTTAAGTGCACATTTAAAGATTCCAGTTCTATTCGTTCACCAACATCCAAATTGTCCCAAATTTAGTACCATTTATTACTTTTCGTATATGTAAGCACGAGTTTCTTCCACATTGCAACATTAATCACAAATTTCAGGATTCCAGCATTATCCCTTCACATAGATCCAAATTCTACCAAATTTAGTACTTTTCGTACTTATGAGTTCGAATATCCAACACTATCTCAATCATGTGCTATAACAGTAATTTTACTTTCAAATATAAATTTTCCACCTCTATCATTTCAATCAAATCTAAATTGTACTAAACGTAGTACCATTTAGTGCACATATTTACACATTTTCAAAACTATCTTCATGTTTCATCCTACACTCCAACCTTAATTTTACCTCCAAATTTTAGGATTTCCGCTCACACAAAATGAATTGTATCATACTTAGTACCATTTAGTGCTAGTGGAAATACTATCTTAATTCTGTAATTTTCATTTCAAATTTAAGTTTTCCATCTCTATATCTAAATTGTACCAGATTTTGTACCATTTAGTACACTTTCGAATTTTCAAAACTACCGATATATCTCAATTCTGCACTCCAACTGATTTATTAATTCAAAATTTCAGAATCTCAGCCCTATCCGTTCACACAAAAGCAATTTGTAAACAGGTACCAAATTTATTATTATTTTTTGTTTCTATATTTAAGAATTTTCTACACTCAAACAGAAAAATTTTAATTCCAAAATTCTGGAGTCCAGCTCTATACGTTCACACATAATCAAGTTGTACCAAATATAGTGCCGTTTAGTACACATAAGTACTATGCTTCCATATTTCAATTGTATATTCCAACTGCAACCATTATTCCAAATTTTAGGTATCCAGTTCTTTAAAAAATTGTTCCAAATCTAGTACCGTTTAGTACTTTTCGTGCACAAAATTCCGAATTTCCAAAGATGTGTCTATAACTCAATATTCAATAGTTACCATAATTCCAAATTTCAGGTTTTCAGCTCTATCATTTCAAGCAAAATCCAAATTTTACTAAATTTAGTACAATATAGTACCTTTCGTACCAATAAGTACGATTTTCCTAAACTACCTCAATTCTACACTCCAACAGTAATTTTAATTCACAATTTGAAGACTCCAGCTTTATCTGTTCACCTAATTCAAACTTGCACCAAATTTAGTACCATTTAGTACTCATAAGTACGATTTTTTAAAGCTACCTAGTAGTCCTAATTCCTCTTTTCAGGATTCCATCTCTATACACTCAATTAAATGCAAATAGTACCAAATTTAGTACCATTTTGTACTTTTTATACACATAAGTACGAATTTCTTAAACCTTTTTCATACATCAAAAGCACTTCTCAACCTGTATTCCTTATACAATTTCAAGATTCTAGTTTTTATGTACAATATATATATATATATATATACAATTGGAACCAAATCTAGTAAATTTTGGTACTTTTCGTACACTTTTAGGTCGAATTTCCACAAACCCTTTTGCACATCTTTCTAACATTCCATCAGTGATCCACATTCCAAATTTCAGAATTCTAGCTCCTCCCATTCGCCTAATACAAAGGTAACCATATTTGGTACATTTTAGTACTTTTCGTACCCTTCTAGTTAGAATTTAATAAATCTACGCTTGGACTTGCCTACAAATATGTTTAATAAATCTACGCCTTGGACTTGCCTACAAAAAATATTTGTAATAAATCTACGCCTTGGACTTGCCTTATGAATTATGAAATTCTTCTTCTGTCTATATGAAAATTTCCCAGTCAAATCCTCCTGAAATATCCCATATCCATTCAAATCGTATGTAATAAATATAAATGGCTTTTATTTGTTTTTTCTTTTCTCTTCCATTTCAAACTCATTTAGTTGACTTGGTTAGGTCATTTCATTGGCAGTGTCATTGTTCCACATGATAATGACACATACATAGACAAACGCACACACACACACTTGCTGTGAATTAGTTGCCAATTCAGTTTGGGGCAAAATTTATTGGCCTAATTATGTGTGTTAATTGAATTATGTTGTTTTAATGAGTCTTTAATTTGTGGTCAGTTACTGTCACTTGTAATGGAGCGGCGTTTTTCATTGTCTGACAAAAGCGAGAAAATTACACTTTTTCAACGAATTTGCGAAATAATTAAATATGTTAAATAAGTTATGTTGATGGCTTCGTTTACCACAAAAGTGTTAATTATTTAATGATGATATTTAAAATTCATACAATCAATTTTTTGTTCGAATATTTTCTATAAATAATAATAATAGAAAAATGGCAGATAACTTACCTACATGTCAGCCGAACTGCACTTCCCTCGGGTACAATGACATCAGATGATGTATCTTCCGTTACAAAATCGGGTGGTATAACGACATCTAGGTAGCCGATCTGTGGGAGTAAGAGAATAATGATAATATGGAATTATTAATACAATTTTGTTATCATGAATCGTAAGGATTTTCAGTATAAATATTAATTTAACCATGTAGTTGCTAAATTTTGGATGAGTTTGGATGAGATCCCGATTCGTAAAAAACTGGACAATTGCTTACCAGATAAAGGGTGGTCGCTGATAATATTGAAATGAGCTGATTAAGCTAGAATACTATGAATGCCTTTGATAAAATATTAAAATTTTTGTAATCAGGACTTCAACCGCAAAAATGCAAAACCGCTGGGCAATCCAGCCGGACTGGCAACCCTATCTACTATATATTTCTTGTGTAGACAACAGTAAGTGTTGGCTGGTGTCATTTGATGGAGAGCGATAAATCACTGTAAATTAGGAAAAGACAAGAGGATACCATCAGGTATAAGAAACATATTCTGGTCTTCCAGAAAACGATTCTTCTGGACTTCTAGTAGAAATCCTGTGGGCCTTATAGGACAAGAATTTCATGTCTTTTGTTATTCTAGGAAAATTCTGTAGTGGTCTTGAAGGAGAAGAAACCATGTCTTATAGCGTAATACATTATTAGACAAATTTAGATAAATTTATTTATAGTGTAAACATACTCAGAACGGTTGTATGCGAAAAATTAATTGATTTATGAGAGATGAACATAAATCTTTGTGTGCGATGAAGCATTGTAAATTATGAGAAGACCCTCGGGTATTTTAAAAGAACGTCATATGGTATAAATGAGATATTCTGGTCTTGTAGAAAAATATCCTTCTTATCTTACATGAAAGGGTCATTAAGACTTCTAGGAGTTTAAGGAGAAGACTTTGTGGTCTTCTAGGAGAAGAATATAGGTCATGTGGTATACTACATTCTTAGACAAATTTGGACATTTATAGTATTCAAATATTTAGAAGGGTTTGACGTACGATCACGTGTTGTATTGTTTACAGTGACTTGAAAATTTAATTTTAAAAAGAGCATTGAACTGTTTATGGCTATTAAGCTCTGTAAATTATGAGAAAATCCTCGGATGTTTTAGGAAAATGCCATCTGGTACCGGAGAGATATTGTGGTCTTCTAAAAAAATACCCTTCTGACCTTCCAAAAAAGGACCTTTTTTATTATAGGAATTCTTCTGGATAAGAGTTTGTAGTCTTCAATGAGAAGAATCCAGATCTTGTAGTTGTATTTTGGCTTTCTAGGAGAAGGCCTTTCGTGAGAAACTGTTGTACACAGAACATTGATGCCGTGCCTAAACTGATAATGCAATATAGAACTGTGACAAAGGATGTCGTGAGATAGACGCATTTCTGGGCCTTTCTTATACCAGCATACTTTTGAAGTTGCATGAAGATCTAACCATAAATCAGTAAAATCGTCGGTCGGAACATATAGTAGTTTTTTAGGCTCTGCGATAATTAAATATAAAAATTATAGAAAATTTCGTTAGAAAACAGTGTAGAAACTTCAATCTACCGGGAATTAGCTGGGACCATTGTATGGGAGGTATTAAAAATTAAGGACTTATTTTGAACATTTTCTGGGAAGATTTGTTTATTCACCAGGAAAAAATAAGGAAGGTAATCGGTGGAAAAATCGTTGGTAAAAAATCGGCTAAAATTAAAACAGGAAGGTTCCAGAAAGTCCCATCGTCGCTTGATGTTGGATTTATAAATACTGAAATTTTTGACCATTTGTGGGGGAGATGCCAGGGGACCAATGGGTTTCATCTATAGACTTGATTTAGGCTAGATAAAGATAATAGGATGTGCAAAGTTTGGTTCAAGTTGGACATTCCATTTGCCTGATATTGGAATAATAAATATTGAAAATTTTGAAATTCTGTGGGGGAGGTACCAGAAGGAGTGGACCAATGGGTCCCATCTTTGGACTTGATCTAGACTTCGTAATGATAATGGGTTGTGCAAAGTTTAGTTCAAATCTAACATAGTCTCAGCCTAATATTGGATTTAAAATTATTAAAATGTTGGCCATTTATGGGGGAGGTACCAGAAGGAGTGGATCAATGGGCCCCATCTTTAGACTTGATGTAGGCTAGTTAAAGATAATAGGTTGTGTAAAATTTGGTTCAAATAGGACATTTCATTCGCCTGATATTGTATTGAAAATGTTGACAATTTGTGGGGGAGTTAAAAGAAGGTTGCTCTATTCGAGAGTTATCGCCAGCCGACCAAACAGACGGAAGGACATTTGGAAATCGACTCCAAATTGTCTGAAACGGATTTGGTGTTAAGTAATATGGCACCCAATGCCAATATATTGGTATAATGAGCGGTACCTTCATATAAGGTTTAACCAAAAATATGGACTTATTTTTAAAATTCTTCGCATAGGTGTATGGCGGACTACAAAAACTGGGAATGTCAAATTCCAGCCACAATTTCATGGAAAAAAGACGCCTGACATGTAATACAGAAAATAGGGGTACAGCCCTATTAGTAAGTCTTTATCTTAAATATTTGCGATCTCTGTGGTTTAAATTTAAACAGACAGACAACAAATTGTATTCCGATGGATAATATATACTTTATAGGGTCTCCGAGAAATATTTGGAGGTGTTGGCTATATAAAGGTATGTACGTTCCCAACTGATGCAAGATTATGAATATATGACTATGAGTTCGATACGAATAGTAATCGACCGTGTGGGCCTTCGAAAACGGACCAAATTTGTTCGTGGAAGAACCAATTTGAAGTAAATGTTTGGTTGTTTCTTCGACAAAACTGATTATGGGGCGACACCATGCGAAATGCAAACTCTCACACATTAAATTAATGAAAAATGTTATGTTTATTAAAATCTTACAAACCATTTAGGGATACAAATATTTTTTACTTTTTTAAGATAAGATAATGAATTTTATAAAACATCATGGATTTAAAAAAAAAAACACAACAAAATTATATTTAAAAAAATATCGTTTGGTTCAATTTTGACCATTTTTGTGGGAGTTAGAGAAATTTTAATATATTAACATTGGGCACGAACATTTAGTGATATATATAATAGACCTAGTACATACATATAAGACTTCGTACTCTCTGATATAAAAAAAGTTTCCAAACTCATTGTTAAGAGACATATCTTCTTTGCTACCCAGTTCGAGTATTGAAACATGTTCTCTGTTTAAATACTCAGTATTTATTTATTTTTTTTATTTAAATGTTTTTCCCAGTGTCCACTATAGTGTTTACCAATCTTCTGACCTTCATTTATGTTATTCAACTGATTTCATTTCAAAAGTGTGCTCACAAAGTATCAAGCATTGGTTTTTCATATTACACATTTGCTACAATAAACTAAACCCCACTTCAAATGTTTATTGTGTAAACGAATCTGTTTGGTTTTCTACTCCCTCTCTACATATAGATTTCCTCAAAATACCAGTAGACGAGTAGTTCCGATACATGTTTACCCACAACTACTTACGTACATAAATATGAAGGTAAAATAGATGTTATTCTATGAAAGACGATTACAAACTTCTACCACTATTCGACATCCCAAAGATGGAAGGACATTTCAAATGGAGAAGAGAGAGAAAAAAGGACAAACATGAAAAATATTGTGTTTGCACACACGTAACATATGTTTGTATATACACTTGAGTATATACATCCACACTCACTGTCGTATGTACGATAGTGAATATGTACAATTTCATTCCATTATGTTGATATAAAAATTAAGGAAGCATGAAATACATTTTATTGGCACCATAAACTACGCTTCGTTGGTCATTGAAGTGTTTATGTTTATTTAAGATTGTTTTTGTTGTTGTAGTAGTTTTCTTTCTTGTTTTTTGCAATGTTGTCCTTGTATCGAGAAAACGAGTCTGTTGTACCGGAAAGTGTACCACAAAATACGAAAGTCGTTTTAATGTTTTTGCAAACGAAATAAAGTGTCACTTTTTGTGTGATTTAATAAATGAATTTTGTGATGTAATATATTTTTTCACGTAAGACGAAATATACAATATAGATATACCATTTATTAGTATTACTTACTCCCCACTAAGATATTAGTTAATTTTGAACCAAGAGTTTGTAACACCCAAAAATATATGATATCTAACCACATACAGAAGGGCACTAAAAAATATTAAGGTTGGATCGGGATCTGGCTACCAAATATGGATAACCGTCTTGACAATTATCGGCCAACATCACCTCGACTTTTATTGAAATGTGGAACAGAAGAACATTACAAATTAATATGTTTGGATCGTTATAGAATTCTGCGTGATGTTCCGGGCTTCGACAAGGACGAGGCCTATAATTTTTGTGTTGATCTGTTAAAATAAATTGTATACATAGAAGGGGATCTGGCTACCGAATATCCATAACCGTATTAACAATGATCGGCCAACATCACCTTGACTTGAAATTTCAAAATATTCAGAAAATACCTAAATTTATCTATGGTGACTACCCTAAATAGAGCACCGAAAACTATACTTATTATTGCTACCCAATGCTATGATGTTTAAATACAAATATGGGGTTCTAGAATCCACAACTAATTGAAGAGAGGTAATTACTTCCATAAAAGGTTCGTTTGGTTCGTTTTTTTTGTCCAAAGAATCTTACTTCTGCGAAAACGACGATGTAAGGACTATCACCGTCAATTAGGAGCATTATGATCATATGATAGCCGAATTTTATTACCCGATAGTTAATATTGCCACTTGTAGAATGTGTGGTTTCAACAAAACGGTGCACATGCCACACTAATCGAGCGATTGTAGCTTTATTGTAAGAGACATTTTCTGGCCGCGTAATTTCTCGCAGTGGTGATAAATTCCTGTTTTTTATTCTGGACAGATTTTTCTTCCCGAAATGAGACAAAATTCACATCATTGTATTCTTGTTGTAGCTAATGAGGGTAATATATGACCTCTCCTTCTGAGACGTACCCCACAATGGAATGCAATGACGCATTCGAATTAAACTTGTCGTCTCTTATTTAACACACAAAGTTTCCAATATTATTAAATTGAAACGTACACTTCCAAGACAATATAAATATAATAATCATTAAGAAAAAATTTATAGAGAGTGCGCTAATAACTTTCCCTATTTAAACAAAACTTTGCTCAAGCTCGAAGATGGAGAATAGAAAATCACTCTTTCTGGTCTCTTTCCATAATGGGTCCTATGGATCCACTCCCTTGGGTACCTCCTCTAGCAATACCGCTAGAGATAGATATTTCAGATGGAGTTTCGAATTGTAGCACTGACCTTGCTATTAGTCATATGATGTTTGGTATTACAAATAACGGTACCGCCAAATTTTCGGTATTTTTAAGATTTTAGGTTAATTTTCCACTTCGGGGTTTTAGATGCTGTTATACTTCTGGCCAGAAAATTATACTTTTAGGTCTGAGTTATCGCAAACCCACATATAAAGGTCGCGTCCTTCTACAATTGCGCCGGAAATGATAATTATAGGTTCAAGTTTTGATATAACCCCCATATAAAGGTTCCGCACATATATTGCTATTTTCATAGTTTTAGTCCCACTTGCTCTATTTTGTACTCAGATATTTAACATTTTGTACTCCGGACATAGTTCTATGTGTAAAATTTTGAATATAGCTAAATGTTTTCACATAGCACCTTTAAAAAATGTTTAGCCCTGTTTTTGGTATTCTTCGTACCAGAAAGTATTCAATATATACCAGAAAGTAATAAACATATATAATGGTGCCGCTCAATATTTTCTACGTTAAAGTTCCTAGCCTTTGGGGGTATAAAAAGTTTGGTCGGTTCGAACAAATTGTCAACTTGTTTTCTTATCTTAAATTGTTTGCATACATTTCAATTCAACTCACCTGACTCTTCATGGGATCCGTATTCAATTGACACATATAGCCACCGCGATCCTCTTCGGTTACTGCTCGTATATGTAAATTCCATGTATTCTGATCCAAATGACTGACTGTCACACGGGAATTATGGGTTATGACATTCTCGTGTATGGCCTGAATGGCTTTCGTATCAGCTTTGAGCCAACCAACCTGAACACAAAAGACCGAAAAAATATATGAGAGAAAAACACCAAAAACGTATGTGAGTGCACAATTTGGGAAAATAAATGAGTTTGTTGAACTCCGGTAAAGAAAAAACATGCAACAACAACAAAAAAAAAATGCATTGTATTTCATATTGTTGTGGTTGTTGCATTTTTTGTTTGGTTGCAGTATTTCAGTTCAGTGTTTCTTCATTCCTATGCATCCAAACATGTGCACGTGTGCGTGTGTATGTGCTAAGAGTTTTTGGCTATAGTCATGAATGTGTGAAAAATGTACCAAAAATGATTTACTGCCACAACATGTTGTTGACTTTTTTGTTGCCTACATGTCAGAGATGAGTGCATTTAAACTTGTGTAGATTTGTGTGTGTGTGCGTTTCTGTTTGTTGGTATTGTGTTTTATAATTGATGTGTTATTAAGTACTTTTTCTCCTATATATAAAATAAGAGATTGTGTGTGTGTACGTGTGCGTGTATTTGTTCAGAAATGTTCGAGGCAATTATTCATAAAAAATTCGATAATATCTACATGTATGCATGTGTGTGTGAATGTTTATGTTAATATTTATTAACGATTGTGTGTGCATGTTTGGGAGACTTTTCATGTTGTTCACAGTTTTGTTGGATCTTTTGCCGGATTGTTTACAACTTACCCTATAACCGCCCAAATGTCGCACATGGCATGTGAATGTGGCATCACGACCCACTGGTACCGAGACATTCGATATGCTTTCAACGAATTCCGGCTGGAATGCAGCAATTTCTGCAAAAACATTAAATAAATATATGTTAATAAAAATATGAATATTGATTTTAATTTTCAATAACAGAAATTGAATTTAAATCAGTAAGGAAAGTAGTAAAGTCGGAATGGGCCGACTATATGATACCCTTCACCACTTTGGGTATATTCTACATAAGTGTCCTAACAGACGTTTTCGAGGGAACATTGACATGAAATTTAATGAACTTAAATATGTGATCTTTATCTACATCTAAACCGACTAACATCAATCCCTACATATGCCATTCTGCAACATAAGCTAAATTTTGTAAATTGATTTAAAGCAAACTTGACACACTATTCGGTATGCGGCAATGTTTAAAATTTAATCTCAATTTGATTCTTTGGTGTCCAATTAACATTAATAAGGCAAAATTATATATGGGAGTTATGCTATATCTATATCTGAACCGATTTCAAGGAAACTTGCCAGAGATTAATTTATATTAACTTCAGTACGTCATGTCAATCGGCCTAGCTATGGATCTTTAGTGCACCATTTCCTTAAAATCGGACGAAAATTTATATAGGTGGTGTATGTAAATCTGAACCAATTTTCACGAAACTTTGCGCACGAATAATATAGTACCCTATGCCAAATCGAATGATTTTCAGGGTCTTTGTTGCACCATTTACCTAAAATCGGGGGAAACTATATATGGGGACTATATCTAAATCTGAACCGATTTTCACGAAATTTAACACACTTAATTCAGTACGCTATGCTAAAATTCGTGCAAATCAAATGCCTTTCAGGGACCTTGGTGCACCATTTACCTAAAATCGGGCGAAACTATATATGGGGGCTATATCTAAATCTGATCCGATTTTCACGAAACTAAGGACACATATTTCTAGACTTAATTAAGTACGCTATACCGAAATTCGTGCACATCGAAGGATTTTCAGGGACTATGCTGCACCATTTACCTGTAATCGGGCGAAACTATATATGGGAGCTATATCTAAATCTGAACCGATTAACACGAAACTTATCACACATAATTCCAGATTTAATTTAGTGGGCTATACAAAATTTCGTGTAAATCGAAAGATATATAGGGACTTTGGTGCACCATTTACATAAAATCGGACGAAAATATATATGGGATCTATATCTAAATCTGAACCGATTTTTTTTCAATATGGTTCGTTCTTGGGCCGAATGAATGAACTGTGCCAAATTTCATCCAGTTCGAATCCAAACTGCGACCTGTACTTTGTTTACAATTTAACATCAACAGACGGACGGACATGCATAAATCGAAACAAATTTTCTTTAAAACATCCTCACGCCTCAGAGAGTCCTCGAAAAAAATGTTCTTAAAAAAATCCTCACACCTCATTTAGTCATTGAAAAATGTTCTTTAAAAAATCCTCACGGCTCATATAGTCCTTGAAAAATTTTTCTTTAAAAAATCCTCACTCCTCATAAAGTCCTTGAAAAAAATTTTCTTTAAAAAATCCTCAAACTCATGTAGTCATTGAAAAAATGTTCTTTAAAAAATCCTCACTCCTCATATAGTCCTTGAAAAAAATGTTCTTTAAAAAATCCTCACGTCTCATATAGTCCTTGAAAAAATGTTCTTTAAAAAATCCTCACGCCTCATATAGTCCTTGAAAAAATTTTTCTTTAAAAAAATCCTCACGCCTCATATAGTCCTTGAACAAAAGTTCTTTAAACAATCCTCACGCCTCATATAGTTCTTGAAAAAATATTCTTAAAAAAATCGACGCCTCAGAGAGTCCTCCAAAAAATATTCTTTAGAAATCCAAGCCTCAGATAGTCCTCGAAAAAATATTCTTTAGAAAATCCAAGCCACAGATAGTCCTCGAAAAAATATTCTTAAAAAATCCACGCCTCAGAGAGTCCTTGAAAATATGTTCTTTAAAATATCCTCACGCCTCATATAGTCCTTAAAAATGTTCTTTAAAAAATTCCACTCCTCAGATAGTCTTCAAAAAATATTCTTAAAAAATCCACGAATCAGATAGTCTTCAAAAAAATATTCTTAAAAAAATCCACCCTCAAAGAGTCCTCAAAAATATATTCTTTAAAAAATCCTCGCCCCAAAGAGTCCTCGAAAAAATATTCTTAAAAAAATCCACGCCTCAAAGAGTCCTCAAAAATATATTCTTTAAAAAATCCACGCCCCAAAGAGTCCTCGAAAAATATTCTTTTAAAATTTACGCCTCATATAATCCTTGAAAAAATACTCTTTAGAAATCCAAGCCTCATATAGTGCTTGAAAAAAAATATTCTTTAGAAATCCACGCCTTAGCAGGACCTCCCAAAAAATATTCTTTAGAAATCCACGCCTTAGCAGGACCTTCCAAAAAATATTCTTTAGAAATCCACGCCTCATATGTGCTTGAAAAAATATTCTTTAAAATTCCACCCCTCAGAGTCCTCGAAAAATTTTTCTTTTAAAATTCACGCCGCTGATAGTCCTCTATTAAAGATCCTTTGAAATCCACGCTTCTGGTAGTCCTCGAAAAAAGTATTCTCAGATATACCCCGACGATTTTTTTTTACTTAACGTAGTAACTTTTTCAGTTTTATTTAAAATGCGCCCTCAATAAAATTTAAACAATATTCAGTACAAAAAATTTTGCTCTAATATTTTTGTGTTATTTTCAAAAAAGGACATAAATAATTTTCCAATGGCGTCATTATCGACTCAACACATCCGACCAAGGGCGCTGCTAAAACCCTAAGGAAATATTTGCAATCTTCAAACAATGTCATCGTCTTCACATCACTTACAAAAGTTTATTTGCATTTCGGTTGCCGAAGGAGAGGCGAGAAAAAAGTTAGACCGATTTTTTTGTTTGGGTGAAACTTTTGTCTCTACTGTCGACAAACATTTTCATTCAATTTTCATAGAATGAATAATCAAAAAATGGTTCTTTTTCCCAATTCTACTGTGTCTCATAGTTCAATATACTATTATCGGCAGTAGACAACAGAGGCCACAAAACGAAAGAATGAAAAAAAAACAAAGTGAAGTTTTCATTACTTCAATATTTATAGAGTTGTCATGATCTCCTTGCTACTATTTTTTTTCTTTTGCCTCTATTTTTCATCGACTAGTCTGAAATGGGGAGACTATACATATTAAATTATGTGTATGCTGCTGCTGCCGTTGCAAATTCAATTTTCCAAAAAATATGATTTATAGAATTTTTTAATGTGTCGAACATTCTGGGATGTTTTTGTGGTTTGCCATTTGGCTACGTTTGTCGGCCGGGGAAACAATTTGATGATAAATGTTAACGTAAAATAAAATAAAACAAAAACATACATTCATGCATATATATAATATTTTTGTGGTTGTCGGAAAAATGTATAGATGCAATTTTTGCCGGTATTTCAAAAAACTATGAATGACTGAATGTGATGGCGTATGAGTAATATGCCAGGCTGTATGATGAATATGTACATTTATAAATCATACGTCCTTCACAAGGTGTACTATAAATATAATAACAAATAATTTGTTTATAAAATAAATGAAATCTAGTTGTATTCGCAATAATGAATACACAAATTCAATTTATAATACAATTTGTTGTTGTTGGATTTGCGAGGATTTTTGGAATTTGTTGTTATTCATAAATATTTGGTCTCTACATTGTATTCACAAATTATTTTGTGATATTTCATAAAATTGTGTATTGTAGGCCGTTATAGTAAACCTAAACCTAACCAAGTTTGCTAAAAATATGGCCAATGAAAATGTAAGTATGATTTAATTTGTTATAACCTCTACAATAACGTGGAGTGCATATTAAGTTTGCCATCCTGATTGAAACACTCTCGAAATATTCGCCCGAGACTATGTTCGCCCGAGATTTATGTTCGTTGGAAGGGTGACATTTGGCAGTAAAAAAAATATGTTGCTGTTTTTTGTTTGGTGTATTCAGATGTGAGTTACAGGGTGTTAAAAATGGAAGTGAACAAAGAGAAAATTCGGTACATTTTAAGTTTTTCTATGATAAAGGCGAAAATGCAAGCCAAGCGGCGAAAATTTTGAATGGTGTTTATGGTTTCCGATACTATAACAGCCAACTATCTACAGTTTTGGTTTCGTAGATTCCGTTTAGAAATTTTTGATGTTAAAGATGCACCCCGCACAGGTAGGCGGGGTGCATGGGGTAGGTATTAGAAGGCGAACTTTGGAAGAAATATTATGATGCGTAAAGTTTTGCGGTAGCAAAGTGTATATACCATCATTAGACATAAGTCTAAAGGTATACCAATTTTGGAGAATACTTTAAAAACAAATATACAAATTTTGATGAAAAATATTCACATTATCATTGTGAGACCAAAAATATGTATAGTAGTCCTATTATCAGACTATAGACACTTATAATATAAAATCGATATTATTAATCTCAGTATTATGGTTGGTGTGTACAGATGGAGAATGTCGAAGTCTTGTACCTCTTCCACAACATTCAAAAAATCAATTTATTGAAAAATCCTTTTTTATTCAAATTTCACTCGCCCATAAAGTGGAGTTCCGTTCGTCAGATCTCGAAATATTAACCAGAGACACTGTAATGTATACATATTCTTGATCAGGCTGAAGTTCTATGTCGATTAAGCCGTGACCCCGGAGATTTGCCTGTTTGGGTAATCTATCTCCTTGCCAAAAATATCGATATTGTCCTTTCCAGTGAGCGGAGCAGTATAGTCGGACGGGGCCGACCATATGATACCCTGCACAACTTCCACCAAAAACTAACTTTCTGTGGATCTATATTCTATATCCAACTAGAGGCCTGAAAATTATAACTGATGTTCAGTACAGCCCTTCTAATTACTTGTCCAGATTTCCTTCCCTTGTGTTGTGATCTTCTTATTCCTATTGGATTCTATAGATCGACTCGAAAAACACAAAAAATTAAGTTTTCGGTCCATTTCATCACAATATAATTATCTGATCGTCACCGAAAATTGTAGGCGTTAT